TAAAATCTTAAGGCGGGAATTAAATTTTTTGGTGACCAAAATTTTGGTAGCTGAAAGTGCATCTTCGGCGACCAAATCCGATTTTGGTCGACAAAAGTTAAGTTTTTTAGCAACTAAAAAATAATTAGTAGCCAAAAGTATAGAATTGGTGACTAAAAATATTTTTAGTCGCCAAAAGTGATCCTTTTTTTTTATTTTGGTAGTCAATAGTTTATTTTACATAAATTATGTTCAATAAAATAATTTTGTTTATACATATACTTTTATATTAATATGGATGTATGTACTATATAAATAATATATGTTGCATATATAATCATGTGGTGCTATAGAGGTGTAGTGGGAAGAGTGTGGTGTATAAGGTTTATGGTGCGGAAGGTTGGCGGTTCAAGTCTCCGCAAGAGCGGATCAAATTGTTCTACAACGAATTATCATCATGAATGGCACTTGATAGCATCACGAATAGTGTCTACCATGACATTAAAGTGTCACTAAAAGGTTTTGGTCTTGATGGTGTAATGACACTTACAAGTGTCACTAACTCTTTTTTTAATGGCGCTTGATAGTGCCACAAATAATATCTACCATGACATTAAAATGTCATTGAAAGTTTTCAGCCATGACAGTGGCACTTGCAAGTATCTACCGTGGCACCGATAGAAGGGGCACTTGTTCAAAATGCCACAAGACCAAAAAATGTCATTAGAAGAATAATTTTGTGGCACTTTCAAATGTCACTAAACTAAGAAAATGTTGTAGTGTTTGTTGGGTAATTCGTGTATTTCATTCACAAAAAAAAATTAGGTTGACCCGATAATTGAAACTTGTTCAATTTATCATGTTTTGTACTAAAAAAATAGACAACAATTGCGTTTTTAAAAAATGAATCATACATTTTTTTGATGATAAAAAAAATAAATTAAACAAGTTACAGTTATCAAATTGATCTATTTTTTATTTTTTTTTGTGAACGAAATATATGAAGTACTCGACAAAATGAACAGTTCAAAGTACCCAATTCCTTTAGTTTAGGTGATGCACAGTACTGTTCCAGTGTACTGGATCAAAGCTTAGCCGTAGCTGCTCGGCCCAACTGTAATAACTAACAAAATAACTGCCTCAGGACATCTCCAATGGAGCTGCTATTTCACTTGCCAAAGCTAAAAAAGACAGGAATGGCAAAAACAGTTCTCCAATGGTCTGCTATTTCACTTGCCAAAAATAGCAGATGCCATATGTGTTCTCAAATATGGTAAGTGAAATAGCAGCTCCCAAGCTTGCCAAATCAACAAAAATGAACAGCAATTTGGCACCAAATTCAGTTGAAAACAACAGAATTTAAACAGTAGGGAACCCATTCTTCAAAATCAAATCCAATTTTCAGAATCAAACAAATTTCAGAATGAAATTGAGACAAACCCAAATTTAGTTTCTCAATTTTTTTTATTTTTTATTTTTTAATTCATTTATCACCAAATCTCAGTCAATCCAAATCAGATGTTTGCAAATCCTGTATGAAGACAAATATCAAAAATTGAAGACAGATATCAAACGAAATCAGATGGTACAAAGATAGATATGAACAAAAATCACGATGGTATGAAGACATATGAAGACAGATATGATATCAAAATCAGATGAACAAAAATCGATCAAAAAAAAGAATTAAGAAAATTTGAAAAAAAAATACCAGATTTGAGTTGTTTGCAGATCTGGTTTGAATCCATTCTAAGCTTTGAGTTTCAAAAATCACGATCACCGATCCACATCAACAACCAGAAGGGGGGTTTCGATCCACATCACAGAGTGAGAGATTGAGAAGGAGACCGAGTGAGAGAGTCAGAGAGGTGTTTCGATCATGGAGAAGAAGGAGGAGTGGTTTCAAAAGAGGGAGACAAAGCGAGAGAGTAAGATGGAGACAGACTGAGAAGGTGAAAGGGTGAGAGAGGTTTCGATCATGGAGGAGAGAAAAGAGAGACCGATCCACATCAACAACTAAAAGGAGACCGAGTGAGAGAGTCAGAGAGGGGTTTCGATCATGGAGGAGAAGGAGGAGTGGTTTCAGAAGATTGAGACAGACTGAGAGAGACAGACTGAGAGAGTGAGAGACTGAAAGAGGTTTCGATCATGGAGGAGAGAAGGAAGAGGGGTTTGAGGAGAGGAAGACAGAATGAGAGGGAGAGGATGAGGGTGGATCATTCTAGATGTATACGTGGACGGTGATGCCTCAGTGTATCATAGAGTCATTGTGCTTTGTTTGGTTTTTTTTTTTTACAAAAAATATATATATATATATATATTAATTCGTTTTTACAACAGTTATTTGAAACGGCTACTTCCCAAACGGTAATATTTTTAATTTCTATAAATTGAAACCCTCTATATCACTTTTATTTCACACAAACATTTAGATTTTATTGAAACCTTCCAATCATTATGGAAGGTTCATCAAAAACAAAAAGAGAAAAACCATTCACCATTGACGAAGATATAGCAATTTGTAAATCTTGGTGTCATCGGAAGACCCAATTGTCGGCAATTCGCAATCGTATGCTCACTTTTCGGGGAGAATTTACGAAAATTATTGCTTTCTTCAGAATGATCAGTCCAGAACACAAGTGTATATTCAATCTCGATGGGGTATAATCATGAAATATTCTAACAAATCTCGGGGGTGTTTAGCTCAAGTCGAAAATCTTTACTCAAGTGGGATTTCTCAAGTTGATATAGTAAGTTTTTATCTTCAGTTATTATGTTTAGTTTCTTATTCTGGTATCGTATAAAAATTACGTAATCAAATAATGTTTCAATTTTTTTAAAATATAAATATATAATTTTTTTAACAAACAGGTTAAAAAATGTCACAAAAGACAAAAAATAAACAAAAATAAAATCACAAAAAAACCTATATCCAAACAACACTTACAAATTTGGAAGGAAAATTAGTTGAGATTTGCCAAAATAACAAATGATTATTGGAGCACCATTGTTATAATTTGACAAAATAACACTATTTATTGTCAAATTATAACAATGACAATAGCATTATAGCAATAATGGTTGGAGATGCTCTCAGTAGGAGAAGCATTACTAAAACCACAAAAACCTCTCTCTCTCTCTCTCTATCTAAAGCAGACTCTGCAACAAACTATCTTCTTCTTCTTCTTCGATCAACCTTCAAGAAATCAAGAAGAAGATTAAAAAATGGCGTCCAATTCAGAGAACCCAACTCAAAAAGAAGAACAAGAACACAATCGAATTCAGAGGCTCTTCGAAAGCGAAACACAATTCATGGCCGCTCAGGGTTTCTTCCAGAACCATGAAGCTCGACTTCTGAGAAGGAATGCTACAAACAGAATAAGAGAAGTACTACCATAAAACACTCCTCTCTCTCTCTCTCTCTCTCTTTCTCTCTCTCTCTCTCTGTGTTCTTCTCTGAATTGTATTGATTCATGTATACATATAAATATGAATTCTGTAATTTTTTTTCTTTCTGTGTTTGATGATGATGATTACAGTTATCGCAGAATGGTGGTATTGATTACAATCCATATGTAGAGTTTCTCGCCATGACTTACTTCAATCGCTGCATTTCATGGTAACCATTGCCGGTAAAACAACTTAATTGCTACAAAGCCTCAAATGCTCCACTTGTTCTCAATTTCTTGATTATAAAAGACATTATAATTTTGATACTCAATACATATCAAGAACTAACTGATATGTATTGATTTGGTATACTAGGGTGTATCGGTATCAAAAGGACAAAAAATTGATACTTGATTTTTTAAACCAAGATTTGCATAGAAACTAGTGTCAGAATTGGACATACTATTTTGGAAAGTGGGTTAAAAACCGCTTCTTAGCGATCGAAGTAAGTTATGGCGAGAAACTCTACGTATGGATTGTAATCAATACCACCATTCTGCAATAACTGTAATCATCATCATCAAACACAGAAAGAAAAAAAATTACAGGATTCATATTCATATGTATACATGAATCAATACAATTCAGAGAAGAACACACACACACACACACACACACACACACAGAGGAGTGTTTTGTGGTAGTACTTCTCTCATTCTGTTTGCAGCATTCCTTCTCAGAAGTCGAGCTTCATGGTTCTGGAAGAAACCCTGAGCGGCCATGAATTGTGTTTCACTTTCGAAGAGCCTCTGAATTCGATTGTGTTCTTGTTCTTCTTTTTGAGTTGGGTTCTCTGAATTGGACGCCATTTTATAATCTTCTTCTTGATTTCTTGAAGGTTAATCGAAGAAGAAGAAGATAGTTTGTTGCAGAGCCTGCTTGAGAGAGAGAGAGAGAGAGAGAGAGAGAGAAAGAGGTTTTTGTGGCTTTAGTAATGCTTCTCCTACTGAGAGCATCTCCAACCATTATTGCTATAATGCTATTGCCATTACTATAATTTGGTAATGAATAGTGTTACTCCAACCATTATTGCTATAATACTATTGTCATTACTATAATTTGGCAATGAATAGTGTTATTTTGTCAAAGGGTGAGAATTGGACATACTATTTTGGAAAGTGGGTTAAAAGTCACTTCTCAGCTTTTAACCCACTTCCTTCTCTCACAAAAGAATCAAAAAAAAGTCAAAAAAATAACTTTTAACCATTTTCTCAAAACACCTCATAGAACACTCACACAACAAGTAGACACATAGGTGCCATTTGGTAACACTTACATTTTCAGTTTTCTGTTTATATTTAAAAAAACTCAAATAAAAACTTGTTTGGTAAAATTTTTGATTTATAAATCAGTGGTCTCAGTTTATAAATTTGGCCAAAAAATGTGTTTCCGTTTTGAGTTTTCAATTTATTTTTTTTTTTTACCACCCAACACTAGCTACCACCCGCCACCATTTTCCACCATCGTCTTCTGCCACCACCAACCCCCCCCCCCACTTTTTTACCCATCACCAGCATCTCACCCTCCATTACCTCCACCACCACTGAATAATCAGGGCACACCCAAGTGCCCCAAAACCTTCTTATCCATATGTTGTATTATATCTGTATATATTAATGGCGTTGTGAGTCTTCACTAATTTCTAGCCCATTTGGGTTCAAATGGTGCTAGCTAACACGGGGGAGTCGGGGCTGGATTAAACATTTCTCTTATGTGAGGGTTAATAGCAATTTCCGAACTTGTACTTTTGGCCTTAAAGGATAAGACTTTGACCTTAATCCCCTATGTGCTCCATTTTTAGATTTATCCTCATTTTTTACTAAAATAAATAAATATATTTATATATATGTATGTATATAGTGATATTTTTTTTTTACTATTTTTTTCATGGGGGTACTAGCATCTAAAAACATACATTACAATGCTATCAAATACCAACAAATAATGCTTCCTCCCCTTCCACTCCCTCTCCAATGTCAACAACTCTAATTCAAACCATGACCCACATTGAGAATGACTAATTATTTTTTTTACTTTTTTGAATTATTGTTGTAACATCTTACTTTAAGTCTTCTCAAAAGGTTTCAAGCCCTGATTGACTTTAAGGCCATGTTTAAGGATTGTTTGGAATATTTTAAATAAGTGTGTTTTTTAATTTTTTGGATTAAAAAATTAAAGAAAAAAATATAATTGTTTGGATTAATTTTTTGACTTTTTATAGAAAAATATGTATTAAAAAATTGTCACCGTCACCCACCCACCACCACCACCCGCCACCGCCACCCCCCCACCACCCACCACCACTAGGTACCCACCACCCACCGTCACCACTTTCCACCACCACCACCCACTCGCTACCATCGTCACCCACCCACCCACCACCCACCGTCTTTCGCCGCCACTTGCCACTACTTACCATTTTTCACTCTTTTTTATATTTTTTAAATTTTGTAAACATTTTGTCAATTACCAAACGCGTTTGTAGTTTATGTTTTTCTAAAAATAAACAAAAAATAAACAAAAACCAATTTATAAAATTTTTGTAAATATAAACTGAAAACGTAAACGTTACCAAACACACCCATAATATCTTGTTTTGTGCTCGTAAAATTACTCTTATTCTACATGTTTAAATGTATCATCCATAGATTATGATTATTTGATGAATAGTAGGATCAAAGATCATATGACCTTTTTGTTACCAGCTGTGTTATCATTGCTTGGAATGTGAGGAAGATTCATTTTTTTCTGCCACCGTTTCTAGTAAAATTTCTCTACTTTTTTTCATAAATCAACTATGAATTGATACATAAAATTCGAACCCATGAATATTTCAGGCCAGAAACAAACTCAACATCGATGCATCAGATATAGAAAGAATGAAACATCGAATTCTCTATGCGCTGAATTGGAAATTGCGATCGGTGTCTTCACTGTGTTTTCTTAATTTCTTCATCTCTTTCTTCAACATCAGTCGTGCTAAGGAAATAGCAGCGTTCAAACTTAGGAGCATTAAATACAAATTGCTGCACATGCATTATGGTAATGCAAAAAAAAAAAAAAAAAGATTTTCTTTGGATTTTGTATTATTTGATTATGAATATTCCTGATTACTAATTAATCCTTTGTGTTGATATTATATCAGATGCCATATATACAGAGTTCAAGCCATCAATAATTGCAGCTACAGCACTAATAGCTGAAAGAGCACATACTGCACCCCTAAAGAACTCCTGTGAACCTTTTTTGCATTGCCAATTTATCGATACGGTATTAAAAAAGTTACATAATTATTATTATTATTATAAAATATTTATAAAAAAAAAAAGTTCTAATAACACAAAATAAACCAATTTTTTCTCAGACCGGTTGTTTTGAGAATTGGTTATTTTAGTTAATTTTTTTAATTTTTTATGAAAAAATATGCAAAAGAATAGAGAAAATAGTTGATTTTTTTTTTAATGATTTTTTAACTTTTTGGCTATTTTAGCTTATTGCCAAAACAAGCCGCATGAACCAAACAAAAGCCTAAATTTCACTGGTTTTATTTTTATATGATTCATTGTTTCATATAGTGTTCGATATATATAGATTGTTTGTGGGTTGATGAACAGGATGAATTGGAGAATTGCCTCAACATATTAATGGAACAAACAAGAGCAAACAACGTGAGAATTTATCACATTCCACCATTACCACCACCACCTAACCAGGAGGAGGAGGAAGAGGAAGAGGAACAGGAAGAAGAAGAGGAAGAGGAACAGGAAGAGGAGGAGGAAGAAGAGGGGGAGGAAGAGGAGGAGGAAGAGCAACAGTTCAACTGAATTAAAGAAAGTTGCTATATGATATCTAGGTTTTGTAACACAATTGATAAATCACATATTATTCAGACTTGCATGCTTATGATCAAGGAAAAAGATACACATGACATGAAATTTATTATATGTGGAGTAGATTTAAATTTCTATAATGAATGTGGTCTACATATGCTCTATTTTGTAGGTATTTCTATGAATATTTTTTTCTGACTACTTAATATTGTTGTATGATTAAAATCATTGTTTCTTAGATGATGATTACAAGGGTGAAATAGCATGACAAAACTACATACAATTGTCAAAAACAAGTATATCATTGATCTCTTGTGGTGGTGTGAGTTTATGCTAGTGTTTGTGTAAGAAGATGATCGGTTTGTTAGTTAAAAAGCAAAAAAATGTTCTAACGGAAGTGTTAATTGATTGTTTGTGTGTGTGTGTGTGTGTGTTTTTTTAACTTTTTTGTTGGTGTTTTTATCTTTAATGAACTTAAAAAAAATAAAAATAAATAAATAAATAAAAATTATACCTTTGGATTTTACTTTATTATTTTAGAATTGTCTATACCAGGCAGATCGAAAAAATAAAAAATAAATAAATATAATTTTGAAAATAAAAATATAATATTTTTTTAGTTGTATGTCAAATATCTAAAACTCTAAAGCTTACACCTCAACTTTAGAGAACATAGAGGGTTTGTAGAATCTATCATGGATTCTATTTTAATAATTTAAATTATTTATTTTAAGGGACATTTTTTCATAAATTCATTTTCACCTATTTATATTTTATTTAATTTACATTATTTTTTTATATTCCAATAAGTGAATGATATAGTTACCAAAATACCCTTAATAATATTCACATTTACTGTGTGAATGTTCACACCGTCAATATGAATTCAATGTGAACACTCACACGTCAATATGAATATTCACATCACCAAATTACTAACCGTTCAAAAAGTATTTGTAATGATAGAAATGTTCATAAAATACTTTAAATATGAGAATTAGGATTTGGTAGATCAAATGTTCAAATAATATGACTTACTGAAATACAAGAATATCTTATAAACTAATTGAGATACATACACCTTAAAAAGAATTTTCTAATGAATCTCTCATATTTTAATGGTGCACATTAAAAAAAATTAAGTAAAAAGTGAAATAAATATAAATGACATTCCTCTGGCTTAGGTGATGTCTCCACGTTTACAAAACCAATCGATTGCACGGTGTACTGCCACTGTGCTGGATCAAAGCTCAGCCACACCGGCTTTGCCCAACTGTAATAACTAACAAAATAACTGCCTCAGTAGGAACATATTAACTAACTAAACCCCCCCTCCCCCCCCCCCCCCCCCACTACAAAAAAAAACTCTTTCTTTTAACCAGACTCTGTACTGCTACATTAATCTCTCTCTCTCTATCTGTGCAATAAAACTATCTTCTGCTTCTTCTTCTTCTTGGATGCATAGCAAACAAATTAAGAAAGAAGAGTCGGAAATGGAGTTCAATTTTGAGAACCCATTTCAAGAACAAGAGCTCAAGCCTATTGAATGGCTCTTCGAAACCGAAACACAATTCATGGCTGCTCAGGGTTTCTTTCAAAATGATGAAGCTCGCCGTCTAAGAAAGATTGCAGTCAAGAAAATACGACAAGTACTATCACAAACACTCTTCTCTGAATTCAAATATGTATATATAGTTTTGATTTGTGTAATTCTTTTGTTGGTGTTTGATGATGATGATACAGTTATCGCAGAATGGCGGTTTTCGTCATGATCCTTTCGTATCGTTTCTTGCTGTCAATTACTACGATCGGTGCATTTCAAGCTACCCACTGCCGGTAAAACAAGAACTTCAATATAATTCCAACAAAGCCTCAAATGGTGTACTTGTTTCTTCTGATTTTCTTGATTGTGAATCATTGAGATAAATCCAAACACAAAACTGGTCACAAAACCAAACACAAACACGATAGAGGGATAATATTACAACAAAATTGAAAGTATATGGTTCGAATTATTCAAATTGAAAGTACTTTATCAGTCATTGATCTTGGTGATGTTGCAGGGTGATGAATATTCATATGGGTTGTTTATTATCAGCTGTGTTGTCATTGCTTGGAAGATGAGGAAGAGTGGCTTTTATCTACCTGTGTTTCTGGTAATTACTAAAACACCTTCATTTCTCATTCATTTTCATTTTCATTTTCATTCAATCTCTTCTTTTTTCACAAATTCTCTCAGGAAACAAACAGGCTCTACAACGTGGATTATAGGCAGATAGAGAGAATGGAACATCGGATTCTCTACGCACTGAAATGGCGAATGCGATCGGTGACAGCACTGTGCTTCCTTGATTTCTTCATCTCTTTCTACAACTTCACTGATATTCAAGAAATTGCAACTTTCAAACGCCAGAGTCTTGAATGCAAATTGCTGCACATGCATTATGGTAAAAACCCAAAAATATATATCATTTTGGTTGAGTTTTCATTCAGTTTTTTCTTTTCTTTTGTTTTGGATTTTTATCAAAATAATGATAAATTCAAAATAGCATTCTGAATGTGGTTGATTAATAATTGCTAATTAATCATTTGTGTTAACGGTATGTCTCTCTCAGATGCGAGATTTACAGAGTTCAAGCCATCCACAATTGCAGCAACAGCACTTATAGCTGAAAGACCAAACATTGCTCCACCACCGGCATTTTCCTGCGAACCTTTATTACGATGCCAATATTTGAATATGGTAAAATATAATTACATTTCATTCCCATTTTTTTTCAACAATGATTCATCCCACTAAAAACATCACCATTAATAGCACTAATGCATTAAAAAAGTAAAAAAAAAAAAAAAAAAAAAACTCCAAGACCAAAACATCACATCATTAATGGCGGGACCCACTGCCACCTAATTAGTGGGAGCACTAATTAGTGCTCCCAAGCATTTTTCATTTTTTTTTCCTTTTCAAATCTTTATTAAAATGCATGATCCATACACAGTCTTAACTCTTTTGATTAGTCATGTTCTTTCCTAAATAATATTATGATGTAAGAAAATTTAAAGCACATAACAAAAAGAGAATTAAGGCCTTTGATTGTGTGTTAGAATTAAGGTCTTGTTTGCTATAGGTTATATTAGAATAGAAAAATGGGCTGTTTGCTATAGCAAGAAAGTTTTGTACAAAGATGGTGTAATGAGAAAATTATTGTGTAAATAGAATAGGGGGGGAAAAGTGATTAAACTTGTCACAATTATCCATTCTTTGTTGGTACAAATAGATGATTAGAATTATTATCATTTTAAAAATTGAAAGTTCTAATTGAAACAATTAAAAAATCAATGTTTGATTTGTTATTAGAGTCAAACCTAAACTTCTTTTTGTAAATTTCCCCCCTTTTTTAAGGGTCCTCTAGTAATGAGCAACCCAGAAATTAAAATTAAAAAATTCAAATAATTTTTTTTATTTAAAACAAAGTCCTAATAATACAAACATAAGCTGATTTTTTCTCAGCCTAAAATAGCAAAAACCAAACAAAGCCGTAATTTCACTAGTTTTCATTCTACATGCTGCACTGTTTCATATTTGGTCTTTGATATATTGTGTGTTAATGATCAGGATGAATTGGAGAATTGCCACAACTTATTAATGGCTCAAGTGAGATCCAACGACCTAAGAACTTATCTTATTCCACCATCACCATCAATGGATGCAATCGCAGAAGTAGAGGATGACGACCAGAAGAGGCAGAGGTCAAGGAAGAGGATGAGAGAACGAGGACTGGTTTAAACTGGAAGAGAGAGAGAGAGAGAGAGAGAGAGAGAGAGAGAGAGAGAGAGAGTACATACAATTGTGAGAACAAAACATTCCATAGATAGTGATGATTTTATCTGATATTCGTATTATAAAAATAGTAGCAGCTGCACTCCGGGATGGCTACGGGACAGGTTTGGAGCAAGATTTCCATTCTCCACCCCCGCTACAAGTGGAACTTTTCAATTCCACCCCGCGCCCCCGTATATCAACCACATTTCAAATAGTCAAAAAAAAATTAAAAATTATTTAAATTTTTAACACTAAATAATTTTTTTATTTTCATATACATAAACAGTAAGACTTTTAAGATTATTATTTCTTTATATTTAAACAAAATCGTAAACTTTTAATATTATTTTCTTATATCGAATTATAATTTATATATATATATATATTATTTATATATTACTAATTATATCGAGTCGGGAGTCGGGATTAAATCAAAGAAAGCGATACCCGCCCCCGCCCACCCCCAACCCCACCCCCGTTGTGAGTGACAAAATATAATCCACCCCCGCCCGCCCCACATAAGTGTTGGAGCGGGTAACATCCACCCCATTAGGACAGGTACGGACAGGTCTCACGGATCAGATTTAAATTGTCATTCCTAACTGCACTGAAATGAAAACACAAAAAAAGTGTCTTATGAACGGGTTTTATGTGCCTTAGCTCTGCTAATTTGTGTTAGCAATACGTATGTGCCTAAGTTTATAACTTAACTTTCTCAATATTGGACAATCTATATACTATCATAGATAGAATGCGAGAACAATTTGAACTATATATGAAAACAACAAACTAAAAAGGCATTGTTTGGTTCACTGAAGCACCGTACACTACCTTCGTCCCCTGCAGAGAGATGGAGATAGATTCCACCATTTTGTTAAATCAACAATAGGAGTGCGTAGAATTCATAAACCAAACAGTACAATAGCAGATCAATACTCATTCCAGCATCAATGATATCACTGCACTATGCCTTCCATGCTCATGGAAACACACGGTAAACAGAATGCAAAGAATAAACCCCCACCCATTGCGAAAATAAAAGTTAAAAAAAAAATTTAAGTTCATAGAAATTTGACCTCAGAATACAAACTATTCTTGTTAATCCTTTTTCTCCTCTTTCATGACTGACCATCATCTGTACCTTCCACCTCGGGAAGTAGTCAGAAGTGAGGAGCACAGATTACACATATTCTCTGATAACGAACATTATAATCCTACAAAAGCATTATTCCATTCCCAACAATGTTCTTTTTTCCTCTTAATAAAGAAAAATGAATTTCGACATGCCACAAAAAAACCAACATGTTCCATTAATGCTGTGCCAGAAGCCAACGGTGTAAATCAGGCAGCAATCGGGTGAAATATTACCAGAAATTGCTTGATGCTGTTTTTTCTAACTGTTCAATCACTTTTTAAGTCTTTCTACTGTTGTATTTCTCATGTTTTCAACTGTCGATTCTTTCGAAAACATACAAGTATCCCATGTCCTTGGGCGGGTTTTTGGAAACCCCGACTTTCTCATCGTTGAAAATCACCCACCTCCCATCTTTGTAGATGTGAGCGACATAGTGACCGCACTGAGTAGAGGTACCGATGTGGCTCACTAGTCCCTTAAGCCTGTAACCTGCGTAATGACAAGAAAAACAACAATTTACTTAAACATGTCAAAATATAAAACCACCTAGCATCATTTTAAACAACCAAGGTCTTCAACAAGTGCAAATTTTTCGTATACGACACTATATGCTCGAATACAAACTCATGGGGAAGTAAAGAAACAATAATTCAGCGATGTGCCAGACCTTATTCAATCAAACTTGATAAGCAACTTCAATATAATTTGAATAATATTTTCCATCTTTTTTCACGTAAATATTGTACAACATTCTTGACAAAAACAGATAATTTTGTCGATACACAATTTCTTTCAAAAAAATATGATGATTTTGATAAATATGGCTGGATTATTGTAAGGCATTCCAACAAAATAAAAACCAGGGACATCAGATTTCAAATGCAAACAAGGTGAGGCGAAATAAGAGAACAAATATGCCAAAATCAAAGATGAAAGCCAAAATAAATGGATGAAACAAAGAAAAACATAAAAGAACCAACCGGAAAGGAAACCATATGCTCAACTCAACGAAAATGGAAAGGAGAGACCCCCGACTTGGTGAAAATTTCCCAGATCTATTATAATACTTTCCCTAAGCAAGGAAATTCCAAATCTATCCTCCATGTCTCAGTAATATGTCAATTATCCCAAATTCCTAAATATTACAGACAATTCCAGATATATTTCACAACAATTGTAGAGCAAGGATTCATGTTTTAAATGCTTTAAAATATACAACTTTTCTTCATCAAAAACCATTAGCGATATTTCCTCAAATAACTCCCAAATTAGAATTTATCACAATAATGAAAATCATTCTGAATTTAAATTTATGATAAAGAGAACATTAGAGTTCATAAATACTTCCTTTGTTTATTCTTTTTGGTGGCAAAACTTCAACGTTGAACATGAAAATTACAATGGTCCAAGAAATATATTGTTCTAAAGTGCCCGAAAGATAATAACTAGGAACACAATAGCAGTCTGATAAACAGCAAAGATAGTATTTTTTGTAGTAATAGCAGTAGTAGCAGCAAAAGCACTCATGTTTATGAACAAAAACATAATAAAAGAGTACAAGGAACTGACTTCCTCCACCATCAGACAGTGCAGAATCAACAATAGTCGTGGAACTTGATGAAACATCCATATCTGATGGACCAGAGGCAATAGGGTTAAATATCCAATCCGTTGCTTTCTCAATATCACCACCCTGTTAAAAATTATATATTCAAAAAGAAACAGTTAATACAATAAAAACAACGCCCAAATAGTACACATTAATGTGTTTGGAAGGGAAAAGATTGGGTACACACCTAAACAGTTAATACAGCCTAGGGACAAAATTACAAAGTGCAATCAAAATAATTGAGTAGCAGTAAGAATTTTACCGATGCCTTCAGTGCCTTCCGAGCTACATCTTCTTCAAACCCAAATGAAACCAAAGTATCAACTTTCGATTGATCAACAAATGATGACACAACCCCAGCACTTTGAGTCTCTTGTGAGATGGGTGCGTCGATGTCTGGAAAATAAATGTGCATTAGTACCTTCTACAACCTAAGATAACATAAAAAAAGAAATGTGACTTTAGGAAAGTAACTACTGCCGTCAAAAGACCTTTTACTGCCGTCAAAAGACCTTTTAAGATGGAATACCTGGATCATCCATGTGAGATAGTAACCAATTCATTGCCTCTTCCACCCCAGCATTTGAGGTGTTGATAGCAGCTTTTTGACAATGAAGATAGTTAAACCCCATTGATGCAAGTTGGGATACTATACCCTCATCAGCCAAAATCTTCTTTGGTTCTGCCACATCCACAGCGGCTGTGCAATATAAAAGGTAGATAATCAGTTGTCCGTAATGCCAGGTATAATGCCCGAAATGCCTACAGAAACTTTTCATTGAATGAAATCAGGAATTGAGACGTGGCAAAATATCAAAGAAAGAATTGTAGGCACCTTTTGGGTCGCAAGGTGAGAAGGAATTAAATGATTACGTCTCTGACCAAGGTAAGAAGAAAAATGATTGTGGTTTTTCATTATCTTGGATGAACAATAATAAAAGAGGACACATGTGCCTTTTAATTTTACTTACTTTGTATTTAGAGGGATATTTTAGGTATTATAAGAATTTTACAAAGAGTAATTTTCGTTTCTCACCACTTTTGGTGAGAAACAAAACGTGAGTTTTAAGGGACATCTCCTCCTTTCTTGCCATTTCTCATGTCCATAATCATCTAAACAAGTTATGAGAGCCCTCTCCATCTTAAAGTAGGTGATTGTACATGACATGAGAAGCGTACTTTAATTGAACACAAAACTACAAAGTAATTTTGGGCAGATAGGACCAAAATGCCAACTTTCCAAATTATAGTTGGGAACTGTACCACAAGGCTCATCACTAGAAAAACATATTTAATATTCACAAGTTGTACAAATGTATTGATAGCACTTAGCGAAACATATATTTTGCCTACATATAAACAAAAAGACAAATCTGTCTTCTTTTTTAAGCCTTCGTGTCAAACTGAATTCAATCAGGAATTTAACAAAACTAGACAGAATCACATACCAGCCTCAGGTAACAGCTCCTCCCCAGGTTGAAGACCCTTGCTACGCATGTGACTAATATCTATGGTGTCAGGAACATCTATATACACATCTAAATAAACGAACAGTGGGAAAAATGGGAAAAACCAATCAATACACCATTTTCTAATGAATTTGCTTTCTGAGTAATTAAGTAAAAACCAAATGAAAAAATACCAAGCTTTTTTGGCACCCAGCCTGCCTCCATCACAAATTTTCGCATGTGCAACACCAGGTAATCAGGAAATGAAGTCAGACCAGCAGCTCTGTGAGGAATGGATAACATTAACATATTATATATAGAAAGGAAATGGCACTTGAAAGGTCTAGTCATGCTTTCTCATATTCTTATGACATTTACAAGGCATTAGAACAGCTTATGAAATCTAATTCCATCATTTTTAAACAAAGGGGGCAATAGTTTATAGTATATACTTTTATCAGCAAATGTCAGGTACACAATTTTAGAATGATTCCTCGAAATCTAAGAAGCATGGACATTTGTAAAAAGGTTGTGTGTCTATGCTGGACACTGGCACTCGTCAGACACTTCACAAATTGTGTAAGACACATCCAAAACATGTCCTATTATATTTTAAAAACTTTTTTAAAGCTGGACACATTTTGAACACTTGGGGGGCACACATGTCCATCTATTAAACACATTACAAGTTTGAATAATTTAGGATCCAATAATAAAAAATAACAAATAAAAAATAGAAAGGAAATGGCACTTGAAAGGTCTAGTCATGCTTTCTCATATTCTTATGACATTTACAAGGCATTAGAACAGCTTATGAAATCTAATTCCATCATTTTTAAACAAAGGGGGCAATAGTTTATAGTATATACTTTTATCAGCAAATGTCAGGTACACAATTTTAGAATGATTCCTCGAAATCTAAGAAGCATGGACATTTGTAAAAAGGTTGTGTGTCTATGCTGGACACTGGCACTCGTCAGACACTTCACAAATTGTGTAAGACACATCCAAAACATGTCCTATTATATTTTAAAAACTTTTTTAAAGCTGGACACATTTTGAACACTTGGGGAACACGCGTGTCCATCGATTAAACACATTACAAGTTTGAATAATTTAGGATCCAATAATAAAAAATAACAAATAAAAAAAAACAACATAAATTTATACTTACTCATTAATCCATCCTTTTTTAAACTTTAGAATCGGTGTCATGTTATATTATTTATTATGTTCAAATAGAGTGTTCATATATATGATATATAATAAATATATAAAAGAACTACGTATTTTGTGTGTCGTGTCTTGTATTTTTTTGAAAATTGTGGCGTTAGCTTTTCCTGTCACGTGTTTGTGCTTCTTAGTTTCAAATCATTAGGACTATAACCACAATAACAGTTGACCAACCAACTTCATAAATTGACAGAATGGTATAAACCATTATGATCAGAAAACCTACTTGGTTGCTGTTACTTTAGCTTTCAATTCAGTGCTGTAAAAATCATGCACCTCTTCTTCAGCTATAAAGCTGCTTAGACAATCAACCAAACGTACCCTTGGGCGTACAATTTGATCAGTAGACCTGCTAGAAGTAAATACACTAAGAGAAATCCAAAAACTAATGAAAAGCATGAAAACAAGCCCACTCATACTCACACTTCCTTTCCCTCTGAATCTCTTTCTGCCTTCGATTTGTGGAAGGCTTCCAGCTCATCTGGATTTACAGCCCATGACATCATCAAAAAGCAAAGATAAATGTTCCAAGCAAATAACATGTGCAGATGCTTACCTTTGTCAATAGCTTTATGTAGTGGTATGCTTAGAGAGAGAATATGCTTACCTTTGTTAATAGCTTTATGTAGTGGTATGCTTAGAGAAAGAATATAGTCATTCCTCCTATTGTAGGCAACTTTTCCAGAGGGACATGCTAGTCGCTCTTCAATACCAAACTTGAAACTCTTTGAAGGATCTAAATCTGGCTTCCCGGCATTGGCTCGTTCGACTTGGTCAATGAAATGCAGAAAGAATTCTAAAGCATCCTAGACATAAACTATAGTGTCAATCATACACGTAAATAAATTAAAATAACAATAGGAACAACAATTATAGTAGAAAAAATTGGACAAGCCATCGGAGGCAACAAAAGGGTCTGAACTAAGTGGCTCATTAATTGGCCAAACCAACTGCGACCTTGGCATTAAGCCTGAGGGAAAGATAGCTATACAGTTATCCAACTTTGTTAGACATATTGGCTACATCAGTAACCCAGCAACAGCATGCAAAAAATGAGCCCCTAAGAGTGGCTCACGTGTATTGTAAACCTATGTGACTCTTGAGACCTCATTAACAATCTCGCACACTCCTAATGAACCATTGATGCAACCTTACTAGTATATGAGGTCACAGATCTCATTATCAGCATCATGCAGGCAATCCAATGGAACCCATTGTCCAGACAGAATATTTCTTTAAATGGTTCAGATTAATAGTTGTATCTAGCTATATGATGTGGGCTTGGGTTAGATTAACACTGTTCCACATTTGAGTCAACAAATTGGATCTTTAAGTCACTCTCTGACCAAAAACCCAAGATGCTGTATGCACATTTTGGAAGGAATCAAATCATCTCCTTGTATAAGAAAACAAGGCTATTATTCATAAGAGATTTAACGATAACTGAACACACCTGTTGTCTCATAGTAGAAAATTCAGGATGACTAGCAGCAATGACTGCCTTGAACATACGAGGAGGTATGCCCTCCTGTTTCTGAAAGTTTTAGATGGTAACAGAACAGCAAAAGAAAAGAACAAGTCACAAGACAATAGAAGTGATAGAAAATTAAGGCAAAAAAAACAACAAAGTTCAATGAGAAAAAATGAACAGATAGCTTGCAGATCAATGAAGAGATATAGACCTGCACATGAGATAAATAATTAAAAGGAAAAACAAAGGAAACGCATAGCAAAGTTTCATGACAAAAACAATGGTTTAAAACTCTACTAAAAACAGCAGGTCAATGTAAAATTGCTAAAGATCAAAACTGCTAAATATTCAAATCAAAATAGCGAAGAAAAACTGAATGACTTGATTCAAACATGCCCATAACAATCAAGAGACTACACACATGCTGGGAAAAGATCCAGCTGGAAACTTACAGCGGTGGGTGTTGAGTTTGCAGCATTTGTGGTATCATCCTTCTAGATGGCAAATAAAAATCAAAACAACACTGTAAGTGCATAAAGCAGAGACCAACAGCATGAAGATAACTCATTTTGAAAATGTACATACCTCTGGTGCCGGGACAGAATATTTACCAGATAGCAGTCCATGTGCCAGTTTAATTCTAACATAAAAAAGGAAACATATAAGAGAAATTCTGAGTTGTGCACAAACAAATCACATCCCATAATTATTTCTGACCATTCTCATCTTTGCTTCATTATAAACCAATCAGATGCTCAGCAACATTAATAAAATACCAGTGACAAAAAAGAGAAGAGTGAAAACGAAAAACAAGATAAAAGGCATTTTTCCGCTAGGAAAATTCATGCTTTCCATGCTCTATCAAACAAATTTCTACATCAAATAGAGAAATTGGAAAGGTGCCGTTTGGTAACACTTTTACGTTTTCAGTTTTCTGTTTATATTTACAAAAATTTAAAAGACTCAAATAAAAACTTGTTTGGTAAAATTTTTGATTTATAAATAAGTGATCTCAGTTTATAAATTTGGCCAAAAAATAAAAACACAAAAAATGTGTTTCCGTTATGAATTTTTAGTTTTTTTCTTTTTACCACCCAACACTAGCCACCACCCGTCACCATTTTCCACCACTGTCTTCCGCCACCAAAAAAATACCCAATGTCTTGTTCGAAATGTTGATTTCAGAATGCAAAAAGCTTTAACAAAGTGGTATATAATGTGCTCAAATATACGAATTTTGGCTCAGCCAAAACCACTAAATGGAGCCAATCTACGACCCTTGCAACACACACCACAAGTCTATATCCAAAATCTTCAACTCAACATGAAATTAGCATCAATGAATCCCTTAAGCATAGCTAACATTGTTGTGGCCCTAGCACGGACACAAATTCACTGGTTTTAACTTTCATGCCTTCAACCAGCATTCAAATGCAAGTCGCACTACAGATACTATACTATCAATATCATCATAATATCCACTCAATACAAAATATGTATCAGCAATATTCTTTATCATTATGGTAATTTCCACAATCCCTGAGCCGAACACCCCTTCAGACTTGGGCCAATTCCCCAGTAATCCAACTTAGCCCAAGTCTCAATAGGAATGGTGTCCCTACCTATCTCAAAATAGTAGGCCCCACAACCTTTTGATAATAAAGGTCTTTTCTATATAAGAAAATAATATAAGGACTTTATTTCATAGTAGTTTTTTTGTTAATGTGAACTATGCCAACAAGAAAAGAAGCAGCTGGCGTTCACTTGGGCGTGTTCACGCATCATGGAATCAAGTTTTAGGCTAACTTTGAGCCTTTCTATTCATGTCTATTTTAATTTTTTATGCTCCTAGATAGATTAATGATGCAGATCATGGAAGGAAGAAAAAAAAAACCAAGAATTTCACATGCATCATGTTTAGGGCATCAAGGAATGAACTTTAGGATCAGTTTTTGTTTTTTATAAGTATAGTTTTGAGTCAATTTGAATCATTAGTCATTAATATGCTACTTGACAGATTTAATTATGTTTGTCCCCAACTTCTCTTTATTAAGAGACTCGGTTGTGTACTATAATTATAATAAATAGATTGTACCCCAAGTGCTGATCCCAAAGAAAGCAGTTGGCTCTTCCTGCATCCATGCATAAATAATTAGTAAATAGGGTCCCCGAAGCCCGCCTGCCAAAGGGCTAAGTCGAGTGATTCCTATTGTAGGGGATCGTAGCTAGCTATAGTATCACACGATTCTTTCATCTTCTTTTCACATTCATTCTCGGTGCAAAACCGTCTAGTTATTAACTATTAGTAGTCAAGGGTAACTACGTAGCTTTAAATTTTTCCAGGCATGGGTGGTAGGGGGTTGCCCATAAATCTTATTGTGGGTCAAATAACTTTGTCATATCTTATATAGGATCCTTATGAGGTTTAGAACATTCTAATTGATCAAAATTTATTAATTTCTCAATTTCAAACCACAGTCCAAGTTTGATGAGAAGAATAACCGCCTATAAATATGTATGTAATTGTTCTATCTTGTGGACTTGAGTGTATGAGATTTTTTTTTTTTTTTGGATAAATAATGAGTATATGAGAATTTAAGCTTGTGTTTGTGTAAATATGCCATCTTTCGAAGGCAGAGCACGACTTATTCGAATCTAGTTTTCAAGTTCTTGTTCGCAGCCTAAGAATAGTCCTGATTTCAATCACAAAACCCTCTCCGATCATACTCTAACCAAGCCTAAACCTTTCCCCTACCTTTTGGCATTCAATTCAAACTTTAAAATCCTAAATAAGCAGCTGTCCAAACCCTTTACAGCTCTAATTCTAAAAAATCCAGCATGCTGATACTTCTGAAACCAAACCAACTTCAGACCCATTTTGCCTAAAGACCTTAGAACTTATTTTCTACCTATTAAAACCCTAAACCTAGAATTCATTCCTACACTAAACCCACCACACACCTAATAGCAGTCAGCCACAGTCTATGCTATTAACACTACACTACATCAATTTGTTTATGGTTTATTATGCTTTAGTCAAGGGTATTCAGATAAAGTTAAGTTTTACACAAAAAGGAGTGAAAAAGTAATATGGACAATCAGAATGTTAATTTGCAATCAAAAAAAAAAAATCAGAATGCTAATTTCACACAAAATTGCACTACAGTCTACAACAAAACATAATAATCCAACTGTACCCTACACCTATGTTACATGGACTCTTCAAATTAAATCAAATACCCGTGTCGGACACCCGACACTCGGACAAGGGTATGGGATATGTGTCGGATACTTTTCAACGGATACTTCTTATATAATTGTATATAACACTATTATTATATGCATATATTGTTATATAATTGCTATAAATGTCATTTTGACACTATAAGTTAAATATAATACCATTTTATCTCACATATTAGATTAAAAATATAAAAATATGACATTTTTTTGCCGAGTCCGCGCATCCTTAAATTTATGATTTAATGAGTCCGACCTCTAGATACATACCCGCACCCGACACCCGTACCCGAGTCCATGTAACATAGCCCTACACACAAACCTAAATAAATAAGTATCATGGAAGCAAACAATTTAATGATAAAGCCTACAGGTTCACCTTTTCTACTGTTACTCAGTAATAATTTATACCATAATTTCACAGAACTAGGTATCATTAAAAAAATAATCTCATTGTAGGTAAGCAACTGCTCTGGATAAAGAATACATATACAAAGAATAGAGATGGCTAATGATTCTTGGTCAATGAGAGACCGACATCAATCCTTGTGGAATTAGAGAAGTCCAATAAGATCTAAGTATAATGTTAGATCATGTAAGAAGCATTAAAATTAATTGAAAACTGTTACTCACAACTGCATATTCAGGTCTAAAGTTGGATCAGCTGGAGCAGCCTCAAAAGCCTTCTTCAAACTTTGGTTCATGTGGTATCTGATGAAGAACAGCATAAGAAACAAAAGAATTCAAATACAAGGGGGTGGGGGGAGCCCAAACAACTAACACTAGTATCTCAGCGCTGAAAGTTGATAATTACATCATATACTTATGAAAAAAACACTTACATCATATACGTCAAACAGAAATGATATACTAACCGTGAACAAAAGGAATGCGTAGAGAACACAACTTGCATAGTTGCAGCCAGGTAGCAACTAAGAGAAATGATAGGAAAACCAGAAATTATAATAAGTAACAAATAATAAATGCAATGACGTTGTCCCCCGCTGTATTCTTCAAGGACAGTTACCTGTTCCCCAAGTTGACAAGTCCTGTGTAACCAGGTCCAAAAAGTGGTTCCATTTCCTGTCCACTTTCTTGAATTCGGTTCCAATCAAAATTGGTGTTTTGGTCAAGCTCCCTTTCAGCAGTCGTCATTTCAGTCTGATGGAATTATCTTTAAGTTAATATGCACGCTCAGTAAAACATGCATATCAATTTCAAAAGAAATAACCTACATAGTTTATGTCCATGAATTAACTTTACTAAGGGCTTATATTTAAGTTAACATGTACAATCAGTAAAATATGCACATCAAACACAACGAGGGGGGGTGCACTTTTTTGTGTCCAAAGAGTTTCTCATAATGAAATAAAACAGTACACCAAGTTTGATAGAAGATGAAGGAGAGCACCTTTTTTTTATAATGCACATAAATGGTGCAACTTAAAATGTTTCGAAAACATACTTATCAAAAAAAATGTTTTGGTGACATAGCTAAAGCAAAAGATATATTTTCCATGAAAAGGGAAATTAGATTAATCATGCAAAATTTATCTTCTCTCTTCCTTCTTGAGTTTGGAGCATTTGATAAGAGCAAAATTACAACGTAAACCAAACCAAACCCTTTCCTTTCGACTCTCCAAGAACTTCCCTTGAGATTCTCCTCATACAATTAGCCATCGAGTTAGTGTTAGCATCATAGCAAAATTACAATGTCAAAAAATAAAAAATAAAAAATAAAATTAGGCCATACATATGAAGCAAAACGAATAACTAACCTTCTGCAGTGATGAAAAATCAATACCAAAAAATGCCAGATGCTGCCCTAAAAGTGGATCCAAAACACTTTCATCCTCCGGGTAAGAAAAAACATCTGAGCTGCCACAATTTTTATCTCACAATTACTTGAATTAAAGTAAATCAGACAATCACATAACAAAAATAAAAATCAAGAACCATGATGAAGAGATAGAAAGGGTGGTCATCACAACAGGAGATAACTATGATGCTTAGAAATGGGTCAAACTTTTCAAACTTAATCATGAAATCAACCCCCTGGCAGAGACTTTGGCATGGAATTCACGGAAATTTCATATGATTGGTATACACACAATTACTAGCAGGTAAAATCATAATGATATCAAGAATGAATATCTTCTTTAGGAGAAGCAACGCAGCATTACCTGCTGCATCTATATCAGCAGTTACTGTCCCAAGCTTTACAGCAAGAGGGTAGCCTGTTTCATTAAAATGTGCAATGGCATGGTTGTTACCACCAGTTCCATCCCAATTTCTCCTACCACAAAGGATTATTCCGTCAGTCAAATTTAACCAAAGATTTTCAGTCTTGTCACACTTAGCACATTTCCACCCAGATGGAGGAACAATAACTCCATTGTCAAGCTGTTGCAGATCCATGGCGTACACACTAATTTGTTTCTTATCAGCAGTCCAGGATGCAAGTTGCTCCTTCCGTTCAGCCCCTTCAGCCATTAAAATAGCATCAACTGCCAACCTTACCTGACAATTTGGGGGGAAATGACAGTGAAATTTATGACCATATTCTTCTTTGAGATTATTGATTTCTTCTATACCTAAAATCAAATGAGAAAAAACTAAATACAAATAAAAACCAGCACAGAAAATGTAAACACAAAGCACCTTCTCTGGCAACTCAACGGAAGGAAATGGAAGAGTTACATAATCTGGCAATATGACTATATTGTGAGTTTCTTCATATTCAGGATCATTGTTGTCAAACCCACCATCAATACCTGTAATCAGACAATATCAAATAGCAAGTCTGAAAACAATATTAATAGTGTAATAATTATATAAAACTTAACATCTATCATATAAAAACTGTCACTTCAATCCACAAAATAATCAGGTTGACATTAACATACTATTTACATTAACTACTAACCATAACATACAGCACACAAGCATGAATTACTAGCTGTACTTCCCTTGGAAAATTTATTCCACATTAAACCACACAGTTACACTAGTTATAAATGATTAAGTGCGAGGGTGATGCATCTCAAGAGAAGAAAAAAAAAATAACAAGAATTTAGCAAAAAGTAAGGATTATAAAAATAAAAGAGAAATATTGGAATATGCTACTACTTCAAATTCAGTACTTGTGCACACACATATCTGGTCATGTAATGCAAATTTGTTAACTCAGTTGAACCCGGCATGATGTACAATGGACTCAAATCCTACCCGTACTTCAATACACACACGTACATGTGTGTGTGAATAATTTAGTAGTATCATAATTTTAGAAAAAATATAAAAAAATTGAAAAAACTCAAAACAAGTTCAAAGAGAGAGCTAAACACGTCTCCCCTCTCTTCTTTGCAACTGCTTTCTACTACTTGTGAAAGTAGTAGTTTCCCACAATGCCTTCCTCCCACTCATATGGGAACAATTTCTGCATACTTTAATATATATCACCCATCTATTGAATAACTATATTAGTAGTCTATATGTAGAAGATAGTTACACGTGGGAAGGATTTCTCCACTTCAGCTGATAGATTGTGTGCTGTTATATCCATCCATTCATTAGAGGTCCTTTATGTAAATGCACGTGCTTCTAGTACTCAGCATACTCCTACAAATGCAACAGCCTTCTACATTATGCATTAGATGAAGTCTCAATGGCAGCAATTTAACAGTAAAAAACCCTATAACCACTTGAAATTCAAGTAATGGGTATCCAACAGCTATCACAATAGTTGCTGAACATAATTTTAATCAAAAACGTCTAGAACCAAATTCCGAAATTGATACCAATGTAGAGTATCATAATTTAATCAAACTGCAAACTCGTAACATAATAACTGAGATACCTATAGCCAAAAGGGTCGGTTTCTTCAAAGGTCTATCTTCAGAAACTGGCTTTATTGTCTGCTTTATATGCAAATAAACTGGATTTCCAGTCTTCTCAAAATTCCAACCCACACAATCCTTCCCAAAGGCAAGAAACGTGTTCATATCAACAAACAACCCACCTTCAGATTTCTGAAAAAAAAGCAACACCAATAAAACACATAATCGTCACAGAAACATAAAAGAACATTAACCCTCCTTTTCAATTGCCAAGAAAACCCAGTGAAGGAAAAGATAAATAATTTTAAGCCAAACAGAAACCCTACACTCTAGTTTGGTAATCATAAACCCTAGGTTTGATTACTAAAGAGGGAAAAACAAAAAGGAACTTGCATATACCACATATATCACAAGAAAGCTTGGCTCTTTGGTTGATTAATAAAGCCAACTAGTTGTAACAACATACAATTACTATAAATAAAATAAAAAAATAAAAAAATAAAAAAGAAAACTGGGATTTTTAGAATTTAATAAAGAGAGCCAATGGTTGAATGAAGTAAAGTCTACCATTTTTCACAAACTTTCTCAGCAACCAAACAGAAGATAAAAAAAATAAATTTATACGAAGATAAAAAGATTAAAAAAAAGAGTAACAACCGGAGTATCGAAAGAAATGCAGCATTCTTGTTTATAGATTCGATTGGTGGGCTCTGGGATTCGGACACGAGAGAGGTTCGCTCGCAATAGCTCCATATTTGAGTTGAAATTCACTCTCTGAAAACCAAACTGTTTCGAAAAATCGAGAGAGAGTGTGAATGAGTGAGTGAGTGAGTGAGTGAGTTTGGAGAGAGATTGTAATGATGATGAAGAAGATTGGAGAATCGGATCGATGAAGAATTGAGGGAAACTTTTGTGTAGTGTGTATACTTTGCCCTAAGGTTAAGCAGAGAGAGAGAGAGAGAGAGAGAGAGGAGTGACTTTTGGCCGAAAGAGTGAAAAGAAAGAAAGCAAGCAAGCAGAGAGCACGGCACGTCTTGGATGCGTCCCCAAATGAGTCCTTTCTGACTCATGAAAGTCCAATGCTAGTTTTTCTAAAGTTTTCACCCTAGTTTGATCTAATTTAGTTTTTTAATTTAAATAATTTGATGCTATGTTTTTTTTTTTTTTTTTCAATGATAAAAAGTGTATGGACTAATTTATGCACGTCTCGATTAATTTATTTTTTTGTTCGATCAAAGGCAGGCTATCCATGCTGAGACTAAAAAATTGTATAGAGAATATGCCTACCAACCATTCAAGACAACTCTAAAGATTGTTTTAAATTTAATTTTATGTACTATTTGACATAAACTAAATAAGTAAACTTATTTGTATCATATCACATCTCTACTTTTTTTATCCTTTTTTTCATAAAAAATTAAAAATATTTATTTATTTATTATTTCAAACAATCCCTTAATTTAATCATTTCGTTTAAATTTTTATTTATTTTATCTATACGTACACTTTTTAAATTTGAGAAGTGTTTTCGTCCCCAAATGAGCCGTTTGTGTCTCATGAAAGTCCAATACTGGTAAATCATTAGTTTTTCTAAAGTTTCACGCTAGTTTAATCTAATTTAGTTCTTACAATTTTAATTTAAATAATTTGGTGCTATATTTTAAATGTAATTTTCATTTAGTCAATTTCATTTAAATTTTTATTAATTTCGTCTATCTGTATACTTTTAAAATTTGAGAAGTGTTTCAAAATTGTTAATATCAACCTTCAATTTGGATAGAAAAACAAATTGAAACGTTAGAAAATTAACAAGTATTCCAAAATTATTACTTTTAACTTCCAATTTAAATGGAATAACAATATTGAAATTATAAAAACTCAAGTGATATTGAAGTCAAAGTATAGGGGTAAAAAGTACAATTAAATTTTATCTAATTTCTTTGGTTCAATTTTCTAATTTGCGTTTTTTTAATATTTAATTTAGTGAAAATAGAAAAAAAAATATTCATTATTTTTATATATTTTTCTTCTTTTTTTTTTGTTGGATAAAAATAATTTTTAATATTTTGAATTTATCTTTTTTTGTGTATATTTTTATTATAAAAAATTAAAATTTTCAACTAAATACGCATGTGAAGCTTAAAAATTCCACACAAAAATAAAAATTAAAATTAAAATTGACTACACTTTTTTTTTATCAATTAGTAAGTCCCATAATGGGAAAACCACTGACCTCTCAAATAGAAAGTACATAGAGATGACAAATTAAGCTAGTCCAATTGATTAAAGTAGTTGTTCGGCGTGGCTTTGAAACAGATATCCTAGCCATGGAAGTCTTTTTGGAATTTTTTTAAACGTTTGGTGAGATTTCACGAAAAAATAGAAAGTATATAGAGGTAATAAAACTGAGCTAGTTCAATTGATTAAAGTAGAAAGTTGTTGTTTGGTGTGGCTTTGGAATCAATATCCTGTTTTGAAAAGATAGTTAAAAGTTAATTTTTTAATTTATTTATTTTTTAGTTTTTTTGAAAAAATATGTAAAAAATATAAGAGATGATATGACTCAAAATAAGTTGAAAATTGACTTTTACTGTTTAACTGTGTTGCCAAATTGGCCCCTAGTCATGAAAGTCTTTTCAAAAATTTTTTACTTGTTTGGTGAGATTTCACAAATTTTTTTTTATGGATTTAATTAATACTTTTTTGAGAAAATAATTGTAAAATAAAAAATAGAACATTTCTGAAGCACTTATAAAATTGTGTTTTGCAAAACACAATTTTATTTGGGTAAATTACCAATAGGTTGTAATAGTTAAACTTAATTTTTATCAAGGCTTATTGAAAATAAGTCATAGTAAAATCATCCCTAGAAATTGACAATTTGTTACTTATTCTACTAAGAATCGTGACAAACAAAAATCATTAATTGTCAATTTTTAGCGACATATGCAAAAGATAGTCACAAAAACTTATTTATGTCGCAAAAAAATGACAATTAGTGACTTTTTATTTATCATGATTTTACAAATTGTCGCTCAAACTTATAATTAGTGACGTTTTTCTGTGATGAATTTTTTAAACTGTTGCTAAAAGTTGATAAATAGTGACTTTTTGTGATATTTTTTTAGCCTGTCCCTAAAACTTGTAATTAGTGACATTTTTTGTGACAAAATTTTTAAATTGTCACTAAAAATTAACAATTAGTGATATTTTTTTAATAATATATAATAAAAAAAATGTCATGAATTCTCACATGGCCGATTAAATAATACGTTCACCTATAAAGACCTACACGTAAGTCCTTTTTTTTATTTTAGAATGACTTTCCTTGAAAGATTTACTGTAAAATTTGTTTTAAAAAAGCCATTGCTTAATGAAAAAAATGAGTCAAATAGACCCTAAGGCCACGTTTGTTTAGCAGATTAGGTTGGATGAGATTATTAGTGAGAGGATTGTTAGTAAAGAGATTGTTAATGTGTGGAATATTGGTGAGTAAAAGTGTGTTTGTTTTGATAATAGTGTGAGAGATGATTAGTGATGGGATTATTAAATTATTTTTATATAAAATAAATAAATAAGTTATTTCTATATTAAAAAAAAACTAAAACAAATAGGTGCACTAGGTAAAATAAATAAATAAAGAAATAAAGAAAATTTTTATATAAAATAGATTCAATCCCCTCACTATTTTCCTAATCCCGCCTAAAATTCACCCAAGCTAATTCCCATATAGAGGGGGATTACTAAGCTCCCTACACTACTAATCCTATAACATTTTGTTACATCGAAAAAAGAATTTGGTGAGTCTCATAGATTGGTAATCCAATCCATCCTCCCAAACCCCCAATCAAATATGATCTAAATGTTTAAAATTATCATGCTTTACTCTATGTATAACATGGATGGATATCCAAAAACAGTCACTAAAACAATTGTTAATCTAGGTGCATCTTACGGGTAAATTACACTTTGTTCTCTTTAAATTTTTGTCCCTTTCTTTTTTTATTTTGGTTCTTAAATTTTTTTTCTCAACTTTCACTTTGAGATTTTAAACCTTTTTCTTTTTCTTCAATTTACTCCAACAACTAACTTATGTTGTATATTTTGTCTAATTAAATAAAACAAATGAATTTATATTGAACAAACAATTTAAATTTCAGAACAAGAACATGCTGAAATTTACAGAAATTCATAATAAAATAAAACTAGCAAAAGAAAACTAACCGAAACCTGCACTAGACAGTCTCCTTAAAACAGATTCGCTGCCTCACCGGTTGGGTGCTTGAGGTTGTTCGACATCTATATCTTAAGATACGACGGTTGGACCAGCTATAACAATGTACCAACTAAGTAGCTTCGGCGAATAGAACTATGACAACACTCTCTCACTAAGAAGAATATAAAATTGGAGGAAAAATTTTTGAAGGAGAAAGGTTTCCTTTTATACATATAGATGGAGAAATGAAGAGGCTCCAGCCATCAAGGCCTATCACAAATGCAAAAATGAATTTTGTATTAAACCTGCTGGAATAATTCATCATCATTATAGAGGACTTACACACATATTATACATCTGTGTAATGTATATTATTCTGCAACCTACAACACTAGCTTGGCCCAAAAAGATTAAGATGGGTGGGCCAAGTCCAACCCCCACACTCAACTCATTCCAAGCCCAAGTCTCAAGATCCATGATCCATGTGTAATAACCCTCACCACTGTTTACTGATTAAACTACTGATTACTGCTAAACTAAGACTGATTATGATAAGTAATTGAACTGACTGAAAAACTGAACTGATTGATTGAATGTGCTAGTTTAAATACATATCTATCTGTTGACTGTTAGACTATCTATTCATGTTTTATGCTTTAAACTGCAAATTGAAGGCCTTATCGGCGGCCGAATCTATAATTGATTATTGATTTGTGTTAGTTAGAATTAATGGGATTTTATGGCATATTTATCTGAAATGTGATTCGGTACGATTAAATTAGGATAAATGATGTTAAATTGCAAAGTTGGCCTCATTCACAATTTTGCCACTCAAAGTGGCCACTATCTAAACATTTTGAGCTTCATTATACATTAGACAACACATTTCTTCAGCCTTCTTAAGCTCCTAGCCGACCAAGAGAGAGAGAGTGAAAGAGAATTGAGTTCATCTTGTTGATTTGCTTGGAAATTGAAGGAATTGTAGGGTTGATTGCATAATTAAGCTTCTAGTCTTCTGATTGGAGACCTAAGGTAGAGAATTCAACCTCTCTTTGATGTATTTGTGTGTTGTCTTGCATGATTCTTGAGAAATTTAGTGAGTTAAAGTCTAGAATTGATTCTATATGTTGAATTAAAGCTTATTTCATGCATGCATGCCTATATTGATGAGTTTAAAGTTGTTTTCATGGAAAATTGTCACATGCATGTTCATATTTTTGCTAAGGACCATGAATTTATCTTGTTTTGAAAAGAATTGGTTCTGTTAAGCTAGCATTTGAAGCTTTGAAGTATTTAAATCTTTGCATGTTCCATATTAGTTTTGTTCATGAAAATTGGTTTGAAATTGGATTTAATTGAACTACCTTTGGGCTTTGATTTCTCAAATTGATCTTTGAAACATGTTATACTATGAGTTTTGAAGTGTTTTCCATAAAATTAGCCCAAAATGATCGAATTTAGTACATTAAAACTTGTTTTTGAGCTTGAGGTTCAAATCTGGAATTTCCAGAATTTGGACTTCCGCTCGAGCGGGGTTACTGGCGCTCGAGCGGGAAAATCGTGCTTCCAGCACTTTGCACTGTTTTACAGTCCGCTCGAGCGGGGTATTGGACGCTCGAGCGGGGAGTTGTGTCATACGCTTGAGCGGGTATTGAGCGCCCAATCGAGCGTGATTTTCACACATCCAGTACTTTTACTGTAGCTTGCATTACGCTCAAGCGTATTTATTCACGCTCGAGCGAAGACCTTTGTCTGCATGTCGACTCTAACGGATATGTACACACTCGAGCGGGACCCTTGTTTTCTGAAAATGTTTTCTAAGTGC